ACGTTTAAGTGGTGATTGTAGGGACTTGAACCCTCTTTAAACAAGTACAAAATGAACTCCTTGCCAAGTTATACACTAGATGGTGCCACCCTCATTATCAACCTATAGTTATATCGTGATCATTTTACCACCATCTTTGGCACCAGTATTGTGAAATAAAACTTTGAAGAAAAGGCTGTATTGGCGTTAATTAACACTAGCTTCCCTGCTATATACGCTCACCACCCTCCTGTTATTTGCTTGTAAATATACATCTGGATGCAGATTAATGAATTCTTAGCTGAGAAAGGGAAAAATCAACTAAGGCAAGCGCTGCCAAAACATGGGAAAATACTTTACAGGCAAAGCTTAGATTAGTCTGCAAAATTGATGGTTAATAAATGTATTAAACAATATATCTCAATTCCCTGGTGCAGTGTGTTTCCATAAGATATCAAACATAAAAATCTAATCCCTGTGACTGATGTCCTTCGTCTGGTTGGGAAGTCACCTTGACTATACCAATATGTGGTATGAGAACTTTTATGCTTTTGTCAATTCCAGTAACTATGTTAAGCTATAAAAATGCGCCCTAAAGTGGAAATGTCATGTTCAGTGCTTTGATACAATTATTCAAAGACCAAAATAAAATTGGAATTGCATTTCATGGTTAGGGGGCATTTGCAGTTAGACTGTGAATCTGGATTCTTTATTAGTCATTTGACTTACTTTGATATCGATCTTAATAATTATGAAAAACTAAGGACGTAAGAATAATCTGGATTTGTCTTGTGTTGGGTATATCCTATACAGTTTTTTTTTTCACTTGTAGATTTTATGTTGCTTTGTTCAAGGCAGCCTAATTATCAAGTTTGTACCTTTGAATTTAGTTTTATTTGGCCTTTGCATTGGAATCATAGTTATCAATATTTCTTGGTTTTTGCCTTCAGGTGTGGATTTTAAAGTAAAATATGTCACTCTTGGAGGGAAGAAGTTGAAGCTTGCCATTTGGGATACAGGTAATATGACCAGTAGATTGTGAATTGCTAAATTCTTCTGTTTATGGTTTTTTGATTTAATTGACAAAGGATCATTTCCAGTTATATACTCTTCTAATAATGATATATTGTGCATTGCTTGTGACTCTTGTTTTGTGAACATATTTAAGCACTGATTCTGCTCTGCTACGATAACTTTCTTTTCTTGCTGATGATGGGAGTAGCATCTTAATTTGGAGCTGTTTAGAATACTCAAACTAATTCAAATGTTTTCAAACCTTTGCTTTTACCCCATTGCTCACCACTTTTATTACTGAATCTATCTCAAAACTCATATCAGAAATATAACAATTCAAACTGCACACAGGCCTTTTGACGGTAACAGAGCATTTTTATAACAGAGCCTTTTGAGGAGGAGGGAGGTGGTTTTTTTTTTCTTTTTTGTTTTGGGGGGGGGGGGGGGGGGGGGGAAAGGGAGGGAAGGAGGAGAAAAGAGAGAAGAGGAAAAGAGGAGGGAGGGGGTGGGTGAAGGCGGGGGAAGGAGGAGGGAGGAAGTGGCAGGAGGTTGAGGGGGGGATGGAGAAGGATAATCTTCAAAATTTTTAAAAACACTCCAAAAAAATTTAAAATTTAAAAAACACCCCAAAACATACCATGCTATGCTAGCTTTTCAAATAAAATGCTACAATAGAGTTTAAGAAAACACCCTGAGAAACACCTAATCCATACAGACCATTAGTCGTTAATATGCTTTATTTTCTTGGATTGATTTTTGTGAACTTGAGTAAGCTCCAAAACTTAATGCTTCATTCATTGTGGAAATATCTGGCCTTGCCTATCACATGTCTGGTACCTTACAAAACAGGGGTATAATTATAGCTGAGAATGGAAGCATAAGTCTAATTTTTCATTTCTCCCATAGACATCAACACATTCTCTTTGGATGACTTATCCGGTTCTCGATTTTGATAAATGAATATAATTTATGAAAGTAATACCAGTCTATGATGTACAATGAAATATCTAATATGTTTCTTAATATACAATATGTGACTTCCTCTGAAGTACGTAATATGTTTCTTAATATACTGAATGTGTATGAAATATCCTTCTAAGCTGATATTGTTATTATATTACCTCTTTTTAGGCATGGCTTTTTACTTTTTTATTGTTCATTGTTTGCAGCTGGTCAGGAGAGATTTAGGACATTGACTAGTTCATATTACAGAGGTGCTCAAGGAATTATTATGGGTACGGTTTGTTTTTTGTATTATTGTGGTTTTCCTTATTCCTGTTATCATCTTGCTTATGTCTTTGGATGTATATTCTGGCTTCTTTTTGTTCTTGATTTTTCAACTACCTAATTACTTCCTACTGTAACAGTTTATGATGTAACTCGGCGCGAAACATTCACGAATCTCTCTGATATATGGGCCAAAGAAATAGATTTGTATTCTACAAACCAAGACTGCATCAAGATGCTTGTGGGCAATAAAGTGGACAAGGTATCCCTTTACAAGGCCTCACGCTTATCTATATTTATAGGGGATGTCTAGGTTCAAGCCTATATTTGAAGTATTTTTAGATCCAGGTTCTTCCTATTTCTAATCTATATTCCCAACAAATCTGGAGATTTTGGGTTTTGGTGTTTTGGGTATGACACTGACTCAATCTTTCAGTTAGAGTGTACTTGGATTAATATATCTGTATGTGGTACATAATTTTTTTTATGTGGGTGCTCATAACTATAAAGATAGTTGCTAAATCTAAAAATCTTTTGCCCAGGAAAGTGAAAGAGTTGTCAGCAAAAAAGAAGGAATAAACTTTGCAAGGGAATATGGTTGCCTCTTCATTGAATGCAGTGCCAAAACTCGAACTAATGTGGAGCAGTGCTTCGAAGAACTTGTTCTAAAGGTATCAAATGATTTATCTTCTTTGCATACATGTGTTTAAACTTGTAGTCTGAAATTGACTTGAGTAATATTTGGTAACCTGTTTGACATGTTGAATCGAAAGCGGGACAAATGAAAATTTTAGGTCGATTTATTGTACTTCTGTTACATCACAGTATTGTTTTTCAGCTTTTTTTAGTGGTTTACAGTAAGTGACATCTATAGTGAAATTGAATATCTGTGAGCTAATTCCATTTGATGAGGATGAACTGTTGATCTATTTGGATATCTGGTGCATGAAGTGTGAGGACAAACCATATACCCTTTTTTTTAAAAAAAAAATTTCATAGCTGGGGAGAGGTGGGGGGATGGGGAAGGGAGATTTGAACTCAGGACCTCTAGTTCCTGGAACATCAACCTTACCAACTATGACCAAGGCCTCCGCAGTAGACAAACTGTTACCTATTTGGATATCTAATGCCTATGTATGGCTAGTGATTGGTTGTTCTCAAGTCGAAAAAGAAAATGACCAAGTTACAGAACTATCCAAGATGGTAAAATTAACAATATAAGAAAGATGAAACCCTCGTTGCCTTTTGGTTCTCCGAATTGAGAGGCATGAATTTGAAGCTAATCTTGTAACCTAATTGTCTTCCTTTGCTCATTTAGGCTCTGCTTCTTCATATGGCATCTTTCACTGTCATATGTGGGTGCTCTTCAATAGTCTGAACAATGGATTTGTTAGTTCAAGAAGTATTGTAAAATCAGTTTACTTTTGTTGTAATCAGGATGCTATGCACCAGCCTAGATTTTGTCTGGAAGTTCTGTTCCTAAGCTTGTAGATGTGTTGCTTTTTGTAGTTTGATTTTACTATTACTGTTTAGTATCACAATACAGCCACATGCTTGCTGTTGTAGATTTAGTTCCGTGATTCTCTGGATGTGTCTAGATATATGTCATTACTATGGCATTTCGCGTAGTTTTCCTGTTGTGTAGCAGATCTTTACATGCTTAATTGTTTCTGCAGATCTTGGAGACTCCCAGTCTCCTGGCTGAGGGCTCAGCCGGTGTCAAGAAGAATATCTTCAAGCAGAAACCACCAGAGACTGATGCATCGACCAGTGGCTGTTGCTGAAGTTTCTCACACTTGCACAATTTGGATCTATTTCTTTGCCCCATGTAATCGTTTTCCAGTTTGTTTTTAACCAAAAAAATAGAAAAAATCTTTTAATCTCCTTGAACCTAAATCTGCACATGTTCTGCACTTCCCTTTCTATTTCACTTATTTGCATCTTGCTTTATCGTCGATCTCTTCGGCTGAAATTCCAGTAACCTTATATTCCATCCTTCAAGTAACTATTTAATCTAACGTTGTGTTTTAACTGAAGTTTCTGTTGGTTACGAAGAGGCTAATGACAACACTGAACAGACGTTGACAAATTATTTCCTGCTTTGATAACTCATCCGGAAGGTCGTTTAAATAAGAAGGCAGACCTGAAACTATATGCTTTGTCGGTAGATCACTTGCTGAAAAGGGTTATGGTATCGCTGAAAGCTTCAATCAGTCGAGCCTTAATCCATACTTATTGAACAGATGTGCATATAAATTCTAGACTAATTCGATATATGTCTTGTCGTCTTCAGCAACCTTGCTCCTCTAGTCGGGATCCCAAATATACACTTCACCATTACAAATGATACATCAGGGGCAGAAGGAAATTGACCTACAAGAACCTTCTAGCTTCCAAACAGCAAGAAGTATACGTAATCATGATAAGAAGGATCCATCGGGCGTCCGGGCCACACAAATTTCTATTACAGCATGGTCAAATGAATGGCATGGACGAGCAAGAACAATTTTCACGACACTTTGACCTGCAAGAAGAAAGTACAGTTTAGAATCGTTGGTCGATCGATCCAAAGCTTATACAAAGTAGAAAGCAACTGCGCTTGCACCTTAATTTGTGTTCAGTCAGATCATGATCTCTCAAATCGAACAACTATGCAAGTAATGTTGTCAGAACTCCCCCTTGCATATGCTTCTTCTGTAAGCTTTCTAGATGCAGCTTCTGCATCTGTTGTATCCTGTACTATTGCTACTGCATCCTGAATGGAAAGCGAAAGAGACGTGAAATCTTTTCGAATAGTTTACACGGCAGCAATTCACTTAAAAGATCCTTTATGATGACATTATCTACAAAAGTAATGAGATTATCATTCCTTATCCAACAATTTCAATTGTGAAAATCTAAACGGTTTTACTTTGCAACTTCAAAGTCATGAAGTGGTCAGAATGAGTGCCATGTAAAGTATCTGCTTATTAAGAAAACAAGACATATGCACAATAGAAGTTTGCTGTGAAATATATGTACCGCATTAAAATGACCCAAACTGCTTTTCCTATCGAACTATGAATAGACCATTTCTCAATCTAAGAATAGAAAAATTCAGAAAGGATGTTGAATTCTGATGGTCTTACATTTTTTTCCTCAAACAAACGCCATCAAAGTTGCCCCACAGATGAACTTTGTTTTTTTTTTTTTTTCTTTTTTGGTGGCAAGGAAGAAAATGGATCCTAAAAGTTGTAAATGGACTTCTCGGTTACAAAAGATTAAAATATCATGTTTATATATGAAAAAAAAGGACCACGTTATGAGTGATCCGTTCCTTTACAACCAATTACAGAGTAATTAACAACACTTTATGGATAGAAGAAAAACCTGTGACATTTTTCACTTCAGAGTTGCAGATCAGAAAATCCATTTCGAGGAAATCCATTTTCTTAACAAGCATATTCGCCCACACAAAAGTTAGAACATAAGAATTAGTGTTCAAGTACTGCAACAGTTGTTGAATTAGATCTTTGCCACGCAAGGGCACAATGCCTTACCTTATTAGAAAGTACGTTCCAAAGACCATCACTTGCAATTATTATAAAATCTACACCATCAATTTGCTGCTCCTATAAGGAAGACAATAAACAGATACGATAAATGAATTAATTGGACTAGAGAAATAGAAAATCCTTTAGACAACCGTTTAGATGGAATCTCAATAATATGCGAAGAAAAGCAGGAAATCAAAGGGACAAGAAGGCCCAGTAAGAATGTGGGACTGAAATTACCTAAAAGACAAGGAATATCAACTCATAGGCCCAGAACTCATAAAAGATTAATCCGAAAAGTTCAAAAGTTTCAAATTATCAATATTTCCCTTGTTTAATTCCAAATGAATTTTTTAAGGTTAATTGAATAAACGGAAAGATTCAACATGGTTACAGGGATGAAAACAGTTAAATTAGAAAATGCTCCCATCAGCTTGAGGTTTTGCATGGGATCACAGATGTGCAGTAAAATCTTTCTTTATTTCTTTTTCAATTTTTTTCTGAAACTATAAGTAATAAACCTCTGAGGACCATTTTTATAAAGCATACTTCCAACTAATGGCACTGTGCTGCATCCGATATGATGCATCAGCTTTCCTTTATTTATGCTAGAGAAAGACCTCTGTTTGCTGAGGACCTAGAAAAATGTGAAGTACCTGTATTTCTGGCTCAGCTACAACATATGGCTTTAGTAATTTATCTCCAAATGCACGAGACACGGCAAGAACCCCACCAACACGCCATGTACCTGGAGAAGTTAGGTAGCAGCCTAAATTATAGTCCAGGACTACCCATGTATAAAAAGTACAAGTGCTTAAGTTTAAATGAAATTAACAAGCACTAATTTTATACAAGGAAAAGCTCGAACCTGGGTAAACAAACTCATTACTAACAGTGACATACCTGCATCAATTTTGACATTTTGAGAGAGACATTTAGATGTGATTATTCTGGAGTCACTTTCCAATTTTGATTAAGTAGGCTTGCTGTTAAATCCAAGTTTTGACATATTTTCGTGTTCACGGTATGACTAGATAGTAGCCAAGAAACTCAAAAGTGTAAAATGAAAAAGGACAGAGAACTAATATGTACCTGTCCATATGACAAAACCTCCTGCCTGTTCAATCCTTTCACGCTCATCAGACCTATCAGGCTTGTGATCATCGGACAAAGCAATAGCTACAAAAAGCACAGGGTAATAACCAGCAAGAAATTAAAAAAAAAAGACGAATAACACTTCCTTCAACTGTCTGCAACAGCCAGAAGAGAAGGGCATTTACCATTAACCAAATGAAACAAGAAATGGAAAAGCAAAGGACTGCACATCAATTGGATACACTTGGAGTTAAAATATATAAGATTCTCCGCATTTAGGTTCTTTAGGGTTAATGCAGAACTGTAAGGAATCTGCTCATGATGACATAAGATGATAGCGACTGTAAGGTTCCAAGACCTCCTGAAACTCATCAATGTACAAAGGCCACACAATCCAAGCACAACAATAAATATACAACATGCAAGGTTTCCAATTTCCGACAAGTAAACCAAAGATATGTATACCATAAATTGACAGCAATAGATATGTATACCATAAACCATCTGCAAGGGCCCTTACGTCATCAAAGTATGATAAATGATCAAAATATTCTAAATAATTCTATACACCACATTCGACTGAGAAAACAGCATTAATTCTCAAAGAGAAGCATTAAATTCCACCAATCTGAAAGTTTTTCCCTTTTTTATTTTCCCCCGGGCCGCGGGGGGCGGGGGGCGGGGGGGGGGGGGTTGAGGACATGGAAAAGATCATAAAATTATCACCTTCTTTAGTGTTGGTGATGAATTTCATCGCATTCCCTGCCAAGGCTAGGCTGAAACTCCACATACTCCTTATCATTCTTCTACTCCAAAATATCAAAATAAACCACTTCAACACTCCTCCAAATCACCTTACTATTTTGTTGATTTTTGCCATCCTCCCATCACAAAACAAAAAGGGAAGGAAAGAAACAACCCTACATAACTAACATACACCCTTGGCTAATTTTCAACATCAATGAATGTTGACTATTACCAATTGTTCCCTGTTACTAGAAAAGCATGACAACATAAACTCTCATGTTTTTTAAGTGCTAGCGATTGCCCAGTCTCTATCAGAAATATTAAATGGACAATCAGCAAGCTTTCTGAATACAACAGATATTCTGAACATGTTCTTCCCGAGGGATTATTAATAGAATTCAACTTTGCAAGAGTGAACTAAGCATTTCACTTAAAATGATGAAGACACCTAAGTTTTCCAACCTTCTGGTGGTAAACAACCTTTTTACAACACGTGCAACCCAATCCCCCACCAAGAGCTGCAAAAATACACACCAACATTCCTTCTACAACACAACACTAACTCTCCCATAACGATATAAAGAAGTATCATAAAAAAAATGATTCTTTGGCTGTGTACACTTTTAGGTGGCTTTGTCTGTGAGTTTGTGTATGAGATCAATCTCTCTCTCTCTCTCCCTCTCCCTCTTCCTCCCTCCCTCCCCCCCCCCCTCTCTCTCTCTCTCTTTCAGGTATTGTACGCTATAACCACTACAAGCAAAAAAGCTATCATTTGAAACCACGTGCTTTTAATCTAGTCGAGTTCCAAGGAAGCAATTCAAGGCCTAAAAATGGAAAGTATTTAAGATAAATTATAACCTAGATAGGGTCGAGTTCCATGGAAGCAATTCAAGGCCTAAAAATGGAAAGTGTTTAAGATAACTTATAACCTAGATGGGGTCAGAATGTTAACTTCAACGTAATTGCGAAGTTTAGATTTCATGTTCTCCAGATTTCTGCAAAAGAAAAGTAGCTCAGCAAATGTTTAGCTTTTAACCAATGAAATATTGCCGCAAGGGACTTGTCATTATCAGCAAAATCTGAGTGGAAGAGGTTCTGAGAGAAAATACTTGAATCCCCAAATATCTACTTACCATAATAAAAGTATAAACAATTTCTTTGATTCAAGTTACTAAATCTTCATCACATATAGAAACTACTTTTGACAGTTCAATGAAAATATGCCCCCAAAAATGAAGATCTCACACAATGTGAGAGGAAAAAGAAGGCAGCCCACCTGAACCAGCTCTACAAGCAACAACCCTAGAATCTCCCACATTTGCAACCAGTAGCCTATCCCCCAAAAGAACGGCAGTTGATGCTGTCGAGCCAGCATCTTTCTGTTGGCCTTTTTCTTCATTGAGGTAATCAGCATCAGTCTGTCTAAATGCTTCAACTGCAATAAAGTGCTTTAACAATCACACAGTATTCGAAATAGATAGCTGTAGAAATAGCATACATGCAGAATTCCTCTGCTATTTACCTATGGCAGACTTTGTGTCTCTAATAAAATCTGGATGCCTGCTTAAATTCTTAAAAAGATTGTTCTTAAGGTATTCAGCTGTTCTCGAGCCACCATGACCTATGTCAAACAAAATAGTGATTTATGTAATGAAGAAGTAAGAATTATTTTATTTTGATGCCACACCTACTACATCAAAATAAGATAATATGATAGTAGGAAGAAAAATGTTACATAACCTAAAAGGTAGGTACCTGATAGTCAAATAGACAGTAAAACAAATATTAAGACATTACTCAACCAAATATGTGACATACCATCAAAAACACCAAAAAATGCAACCATTTGTCCATCAACTTCTGATATTCTCGTTTCATAGAAGTCCTCCATTGATGCACGTTTTCCCTTGAAACTAGAATATCCATAGCTAAACTTCAAACTCCGATTTCCACTGAGAAAGCTGTGAGGTCAAGAAAAGGGTAGTATTGTCTGTTACATTCCATCACTACTCAGAACCTAACATGACAGTTAAAAGTAGACTCCAGGCTTTTAAAATTGGCATCAAGGACAACAGAAAAAGATAGTGAACGCTACCAACTCTATCAAGTACTTGTTGCATCTTCAGGCTGCAAGATATTGAATACAGAATGCTATATGTGCAAAGGAACTATAGTCAATCCTATATCTTATATTTTTTCTACGAGATTTAATGCATCGTTCTTGCGCAATTGTAAAAATAAGGAGCAGATGGGTGAACTGTTCTCAATCTTGTCAAATATATCCGTTTTTCTGTCCTTATGGTTTAATAAAACACCGTAGACCACAAGTTCTATATCTATATCACCTTTACTCTTTAATCAAAAAAAACTTCAATCTTTGACACAACAAAAACCACGCGAGCAAGCCAGGAACAGCAGAAACCAGGAACCCGTAACTCAAACATTGTTGTCGTGAGTACAACATCTACAAAGACATACGAAACATGCATGTAACATGATCATTGATTGTATACCGCAATACTTTACATCCTAATGTATATTCCGGTAGTTGTCAAGTTTAAATGGATAGTCTAATATTCCATTCTTACCCAAAAATTGAAGTCTTGGTGCATAAATAGCTACCACTGGTACACGAAAACAATACATCATTCAGCTCACACTAAATTTCAAAAATAAAAATCTCTATCAAATGCTAACTACTAATTCTATAAACTAGCACTGCAATTGGTTCACCTCCTTTTTTTGCATAATTTAGCATAATCAAAAAAATTAAAATTAAAATGCTACCAATTAAATTACACTAAACATTCATACAATTCTACATAGAACTCGAGAATCAAAAAAAAAAAACTACACAAATAAATTCTCCAAACACTTGACAAGAAAAAAAAACTCAAAATCGAAAATATGCATATCCATAAAGTACCTGATACCCCCACCGCTACAGACAGTATTAAGATCCCTAGCCGGAATTGTGACATTAGGAAACTGTAGCACAGCAGGTGCTGGTTGCGGTTGCTCCGCCGGGGGCAACTCCCCACCACCAGCTGCCGCGGGCGGTGATGAAGCGGAGGCGGTGGAATGTTGCTGTTTCCGGCCGTGGTGGTTTTGATCTTCTACTGACAAATCATTTTCCTCATTTTTATAATTATCAACGTTCATCATTATGATTATGATTATGATCTCGTCGCCGCATTCGGAAAAAAAAATCTATATTACATACTAAATATTTACAAAATAGGAAGAAATAAATTCTACATATGAATCTGTATTTTTATACTAGTATATTTGTACTGCGTATATATAGGGAGTATATATGTGTCTACAGTTCTGTACAGATAGATTCAGAAAAAAGTCGTAGTATTTTTTTTTCGTGAACTTTAGAGAGGAAATGAGCAGCAGAAAGATAGAAAGCCAGTAAGATCTATCTCGTACAGGTCTTTTTGTGTTTTTTCGCTGTATTTTTCCATCTCTCTCTCTTTTTTTTTTTTTTTGGTTTCGTGAAACAAAAGTCTTTTTTTGCAATTGATTTTATTTTTGGTCTTGTATTTTGTTCAAATGGAGATGGAATCCGAAACACTTTTGTTCGGATAGAAGATTATTTGAGAAAATTTTAAAATTACAACAGTAACACTTTTTATAATGTAATATATAAAAAACATTTTAAAAAATGATCGAAAATATGTTTATAGTATCAATAACATAAAATTTTTCAAAAATAGTGATGATACTGGAAACTTTTTATTATTTTTAACATGTTTTTCAATTATTTTTTATTATTTGTAGTCAATTTTTCATCTCAAGCATTGTAGTGTTATTGAACTCTGAAAGGGTGAAATTTGGAAATAAAAAACTATTATTTAAAATAATTGTTGAAATGAAAGGTTCAAATGCTCTTAGATGCTATCTCTCATATATATAAGGATAAGAGGTTTCGATAAAATCTATAATATTGAGGTTCCAATATTTAGAGGTTCTAGTTTGCTTATTAAAATCTCATGTCTTTTCTATTAGAAGAAAAAAAAATTTTAAAAAGGAAGAAAAGAGATTAGCCTTGCATGCAAATATTGGATAAGAAAGGATGCAAAATTTTATGCCTTTAACAGGCTGTGACAATTGACATCCAACAAGAGAGAGAAAAACACTTATCAATTTGTGGGCCACCCAAATGCCTAAAGGATTCAATGAATCTTCACTGGGGCTGTTCTGACACTCTTGAAGTGGGCTCGTGTAAAGATAGCAACAGAAATGAACTCCAACTTACAACCCCAAAAAGCAGAAAACCCACTAAGCTTTAGCTACCCAAATCAATTTAGGACTCCATCAAACTGACACAAAGTAAAAGGAAATATACTTTTTTTTGTTTTCCATTTTTCTATGAGCAATTTTTTGTCCTTTAAGGTCACAAGAGCTTTTTGCTGAGTGTTGTTTGATAGGAACAGGTAATTATAGGAAGGGCCGGAGATTTTTTTGTAATCTTGAATTTCAATTGCACCGTATACAATGTATGTAATTGCAGTAAATTATCAAGCCGAAAATGCATAAAAGCGCAATAAATTATCATTATGTCACGTAACTAAACCTATTTATTCAAATTCAAATTAAACACGTCTATATCATCATTAATTGTCTTAAAAAATCTCGTAGATATGATATATTAACATCAATTATTTAGAATATTATATTAAGAAGATGTGTTTATGAGCGTCCATTAGCGACCAACCGATTCAAGAATTGTTTTAAAGAAGATGGTCGTATAACCAAGTTGGAGAAATCATAAGCGCCACAAAGTTGACAGTTAGAAAACTGTTTTCTCCCGCGAAAAGGCTTTCAGCAAAGCATTTCTTTAATAGTGGCGCAGAACTGGAAAGGCAAGTTATTCTCATGCGAAGTGGGGGAGGTCTTGTTTCTTCTTTCAATATGTCTATCTTCAATCCCACTTGCTTACACATGCCCCCCCAACACCCTCTTTACATCTAAATCAAGATCACACCTTTTCACTTCACATTAGGACTCGTTCAAGAGTGGAAAGTTATCTGGTAGAGCTTCTCCAGGAATAATGGTGAAAGAAACTGAATACTATGATGTACTTGGTGTTGGCCCTTCTGCTTCTGAGCAAGAAATTCGAAAAGCTTATTATCTTAAGGTATAAGGTTTTTGTTTTATTTTATTTCCACTATGATCCAATATGATGGCTTTTTACGTGTAAATTTGATAGCCATGGTTCTTGAATTTGCTGTGCATGTGGTTTTTGTGCTTATACGAATATAAGAAGTGAAGTGAAGTAACACTCAGGTCTGAAGATTAGTTGAAGGTTACTCTTCTTGTTTGTTTCTGGTTAAACAATTGCATGTGTCATTTAGAGCTAGATAATATGCTTTGATATGTAGTGTAGAATATGCAGTTAGTTAGGTGCATGAGTGTTTCCTTCCTTTCTTTCTTTCTTTTCATCTATATGATTGATTTTTTATCTGTATATATGATGATCGATTTGCTGTGGAAGAATGGGTCCACAAATTTCATTGCATAATCAGCTACTTTGGCATCTAGCCACATGGTTGTGAACTCGTAATCTATAAATTCTCTGTATTTTTCTAGAAGATTGACTTAATTGAGTGTGAACTGAAGTAGGCGAAGTAGGCGACAGCAGTTCTTAATTTGCCTGTAAATTTGGTATGCTATGCTTTATAGATCAGAAGCTATTGATTACATTTTCCAGTGTCAAGAAACTTGTCACCGTTTTGGATTGTATAACCACTGGTTTATCCATCAAAGTAGCAGTTACAAGGTTCAAGGTGAAAATAGAACATGACATTAAATCAGCTACAGAAATTTTGGTAAATTATTTGGGGAATATCCTTTTGTGTCCACAGTCATCAAACCATGAATTACGCACAGTTTTAGTAATATCGCTAGCATATAATCTTGCTAATCTACCGCAACCATTTTTTGCTTAAAAACTGGTAGTTTTTTCTGCTGTACAAATGAGAGAAAACTATATGGTGAACCTATTTTTCCTGGATCTTAGTTCCTAATGGAAATGTTTACCTGATGGCCTAATAGCTGACGCTGCCTCTCCTGAAATATTGGCAGTATTTCTCTAGCAAAACCAGAAGAAACGACATAGAGAGGTTATAGCTCCCAGTGCCATCAAATTAGCTCCACAGCCAAAATACATGGAAAAGCAAAAACAACAGCATTTAGCTTAAAGATAAATATTATTGGAAACTAATCAACATATTAGCTTTACTGAGTAGTGCTTAATTCAAATTGATGATATCGTGATGAAGAGAGTGCTCAAGGGAACTCTGTCGGCTTCAACTGGATTTTTTATTTCTTTGCAGTACTAGACACTTAAAGTTGTTTGAGAAGATTTGTTCTTGTAATCTTGCTCTATTATGAGCTCCCCCAATGTCTAAGCAAACAGTGGATTAGTAACTTGCAGAAATATCCAAAAGAGGATGTGAAATTGTAATATCTTCTACTTGATCTGATAGAAGAAGAAATGGTTCAGCTGGAACCAACATAAACACATTACTGTTGTTTTCATGAAAGGGCATTGTTGATCAAATGATACAACTTGTATTATTATTATTATTATTATTATTATTATTAAGACTTAATTTCCAATGAGTACTTCACAACTTTCTTTGACTGCACAGGCGAGGCAAGTTCATCCAGACAAAAATCCAAATGACCCTCAAGCTGCAGAAAGATTTCAGGCAAGAGCTTGTGCTTTTTACTAATCCTCCTTCAGTTTTCTGGATGTATTCTAGCTACTCAAAGCTTCACAAGATTTAGTTCCATTGAAACTAGTGATTTTGGAAAAGAAACTAAATTGTTTTTCATCATTTTATTCCTTTAACTGGTTTATTTATTGGGAGCACCAATTGCTTTGCTAAGATAAAATGAACTTTTGCAATACAAAGTTGTTTTTTGACAGGTCAACTTCATTTCTTTTTTCTCAGTTAGTAATTTGATTATATATCTTCAGGAATTAGGTGAAGCATACCAGATTTTAAGTGATCCAGTGCAAAGAGATGCATATGATCATCATGGAAAGAATTGTGTCAGCAGGTAAGCTTCATTCAATTTTGTACTTTGAACCTCTGAAATTTTAGATTCACAATTCTTTTTTTCTGCGGGAATTTATAGCTATCCTGCACATAAGTTCCTAGTTATTGTGCTTCAAATTGTATTCCCAAGGTAATTGCTAAATGAAAGATAGATGAGTTCCACAATTTCCCTAGTACTTTTACCCCCTTCTCTATATTTATCTCTGTACATAGACTTATATGTCCATCCATCTATTTCTAGCATCACATCAGTTTGTTGTTTAACTTGACAGACAATCTGTTATGCAAGAGTTTACTTCTAAAAAAATTCTGAACATTTAATGACTATTCCTTGAACCTGGAGAAAGAAATTACTCAGAACATTGATGCTTGAAAAATAGTGTATACAAGGCTGATTACTTAAAAATGTGCATGCGCCAGACAGTAGAACTATTATCCTATGACATTGTTACCATGATCCTCCAAACTGACTTGGTGTCAGTAGCAAATGAACTCTAACAACTCTGAAAACTGAGAGAGGTTAAAGGTCAGCTTCGACAGCTAAGTCATGTCATGTATCTAGTTAAGTTACAGATGGAGAACTGTTTTCCTTTATCATTGATGATATGCAACACATCAAAGCATACCTTGCATCCTTCACAGTCAGTCATTGGGCTAAGTAATGGAGCACTTTTGGATTATGAAACATATATTTGCTTTTTCAGCAATAATAGCCACACTATCACCACTTTAGTTGAGAGAAATGAGGCACTTTGCAAGTTCTCCTTTCCAAATTCACTAATATTTAGTATGCATCTGCATATGTTATATGCAACGTGAATTTGCTATCACTCTATTTATGTCATCCTAAAGATTACTTGCTCTTTAGGGAAACTATGCTTGATCCAACTGCTGTTTTCGCACTCCTTTTTGGAAGTGAACTCTTTGAAGACTACATTGGACACCTATCTGTGGCATCCATGGCTTCCTTTGAATTAGCCGGTGAAAATGACAATTCTGAGCAAGTGCACAATAGACTGAAGGCAAGTATGTTCTGGAGCTTCTGGAAATCTACATTTTGCATGCAGAGAAGTTACTTATTTGTCGCATTAGTCAGCTGAAAATATGCTCCAATTCAAGGTGTGATCCTACTGATCAGAGTCAGAATTACTAATTTTGTAACTTCAAATGAAATGTGTACCGAGATTGCTAGTTTGTCCACCTGTTATAAGCTTTTAGAAGACTCCACTTCACCATCCTTTCTTTGCTTTAAACAGAAAATATCCACATCCCTAGCCTTAATGTTCTAGAACCTGCACCAGTAATCTTTATAAGTCAGCATCAGTCCA